CTGAAGATGAAGTTGAAGATGATGAGGAGTCTACTGGATCATCATCGCATAGCAAAGTAACTGATGAAGAATCTGATGGAGAAGATAGAATACACATTAGAAAGAGTAGAGTTAGAGGACTGGATTCGACTGATGAGTCATCTGACAGGGATAGTTTTGAAAGTGAAAGTCAAGGTCATTCACCTCAAAAGACCTTTTCATGCCCCAATGGACTTCATAAGTCAAGTGCTGTAAAAATTCAACGMTGTGAATGTGTTCTYAGTGAAAAGGAAAAAGACACTTATCGTGATTTGGTKGACTCAGCAAGGTAATTATGTCCAGTGAATGGTTACTATGACTACCACATTTKGCTTTTTTTGTTCATTCACATTGGTAACTAAGAAACTGTCATTGGCATTTATTTAACTAGTGTGACAGGTGCATTTCAGTGGTAGCTCCAAAAGTACTGTCTTTTGACTAGTACATATATATGTATTTATCCACAGTATCTCATACACCGAGTTTGGAATAACCAAATGTTTTCCTYGGTGTAATAATTTTTTAAGTGTGTAGAATGTAATAGTTGAAAATGTGTTTATAATTATTTATTTACACTGGTTTAGGTATCAAGATGACAAGTATTTAGCACTGGACAACTATCTTGATGCTCTGAAAATMTGCTCATCAGATCTTCGAGTTCACAAAGAAGCACTGATGCTGGTRAGAGAACTTGGACTTGGATGGGAWTRCCATAACTAGAATACAGTAAAAACCTGCAACTAAGAGCCTACAATTTTGGAAAGTAGCTCCTAAACWTAACTCAAATAGTACTTTTACACCTAYTTTGGGCTTGACAGGTTCTTAAAATAGTTCATTCTGGWGAAAATAAAATAGAACTCAGTTCCAAACAAGCCTCAGTTGCTATTTTCATACATTCACATTAGAGATAATGTTTTCCATAAAGCACAAAAAGCTGTAAATTCTCATCAAACTCRACTTACAGTAAGTAGAATTTACTGAATGTGTGATTCAAGGCATTTTAAGTCACTCAATTCTTTTAAGAATATTAAAATTTTCAGGTTCTTAGTTGCAGGTTAAATTTCCTGGTCTTTCTGGTAAGAGAAGTATCTTGTAATACAAAGATGTGATTTTGAGTTTATTGTATACTAGTAGATGATATAACAATGAAAAGACTAATTTCTAGATGTGAARGAGTATAATAGTATAGCTATTTCAAATAAGGATGGCAATGGCATTATGAAAAAAGTGGCTGTGGCTGATGTTTTTGATAGGTATAAATTTTCAATCATTTGCAAAAAAATGGCTAAAAAACAAGGAAATCATTATCAAATATTTTTATTCAATGGAAATACCGTATTGACCTTTGATGGTGAATATTGCTTATTTATTAAGTCATCACTACCTGTAGTACCTTGATTGAATAAATAAATGAATGATGCTTAAAATATTTATATTCCTTTATTTGAACTGAATTAATATGAAATATAAAATGTTGAATGAGGGACTTGTCCACAGGACCATTGGTATTATCAATATAATTTGTTCAGATACAAAAAAACAAATTATTCTTTACAACTTTACAACAAATACAACACTGCTATGCCTCTGTAAGTATGAGTATAGGAAATATTACTCCTCCTTTTCAAGTGGTCTCTATTTAATGCAATATTTTCATATTCACACAATGAAACCTTATCAGAGACACTAGATAAATATAGTTTATAATAGTGTTAAAAATAAATTACTTGAAATTATTTACAAGACTGCTAAATATTATATGTACTAAATTGTTTGTCTTAAAAACAGACCAAATTTATTATATAGGGAATATATGCTGATATAAATATATGCTAAAATAAGGTTAAAATATGTGCTATTAGTATCCACCAAACTATCACAAATACATCATTCTGATTGGCTACTGAACTATGGTATRTTCATGTATACCATGTTAGCATAGAATTAAGCACAAATAGTCAAAAAATGTCTAGAAAAGGTTTTCTTTGTCGTGGTATTCTCAAATTTGCACCAATATAAACGAACATTCACTCTGCCACATTTGCCCTATAGTAATTGGTGCATACTAAAACAATTTAAGTTGATAAGTCATTTGGTCTACTTGTTAATTAGGTACTAAATTGTTATTTGAGTATGCTCATCTTTTCAATAATTGAGATATAGGTTGACTTTTCATCTTCATAAGAATGYGTTTTACTCACATACTCCTTGGCGTTTGTAATGACAGTGTATCTCTTAGATTTGYACTGAATTAATTCTTTTGCAATTGAAATAAATTCMTCAGGATTATCAAAAAGAAATCCTGTTGTTCCATGATTGATGATGSCTGCATTTCCRGGAATGTTTCTTGCGAGAACYGGTATTCCAAGAGCCATTGACTGAATAGATACAAAAACTTAAGTTATAGCAATGATAACATTTTACACAAAAGTGAATTTCAGTCTAACTTGTTTGAGGTTTATTTTCATGAATATTATACATGCGCATTGTTTTCGAGCAGATTATATTTTCAGCATTATTATTTAGTTGAATCAGGCATATTATTTTTTGGATAATTATGTAACTTTTGTTTTGATGTGTGATCTCACCTCAACTAGTGATACGGCCATTCCTTCACTTATTGATGAATTAACAATGGCAAATGACAKCCTCATGATGATTTGTAAGTCTTTGCTGTTAACAGGAGGCATGAGAACTATGCCAGGTAGACTAAATTATAGAAATGAATAATATGTAAAACTAGGGAAAAACACAAAATATATCTTTTCATGGAAGACCCTACTATCTCCAACTTCTTGGTAATATTTTGATGATGAATTTGATTGAACACTTTTTTACCTGGAAATGTTCAAAAACCACACAAACTAAAACTAATTATGTTTTGGTTTGATGTTTCTTTATGAAACAAAGCCTCAAGTCTTGTCTTCATTTTGCAAAATCAAAAGGTTCAGCCAGCTTAAATGTTTAGTTTACATACTTTTGTACTCTTGYCTTGACTTCTGCTGCAAATTCTTTGTCAAGCTAAAAAAGAAACAAATAATATTGTACTTTATAATGTTAAAGGATACATGCTAGAATAGACTGTTTATTTTGCTGTATTACTAATCACAGTACATTAAATTTAAATTGGAAGAAGAAGAATTACCTCACGACCAATAATAATGAGATAAATCCTGCTATCTTGTCTGTGCCACTCTACAAACCAAACATTTATTGTTATCATAGCAGACTTAGTTTTGGATGAAACTACACAAAAAAAGACAAAAATAAGTTATTTAATCCTAAAGGTTAGGCTTTGTGTACAGCAAAGGAAACGATGTACATACATGTTCATGCCAGAAATTACTTTTGTGTGCCCTTTTGGTTGGTTCTTTTATGAAGAGTGCATGTATATAATTTTGGTATCAATGATGGAATCATGCTACTTATAAGCTTAATATAGGTAAACAAATACCTGATACAGCATCTACCAAAAGCAAAGGATCTTTTACATGCCGTAGTCCAGCTATTAGCAAAAATATAACCTAAAAACGGCAGTGATTTGTAATATTTAGCATAAGGTAAAAGGCAACTTCTTTTCAGCAATTGTTAATCAAACATAGACACTTACTGTATTCTGAAAACTTTCCATATCAAGCTGCAATGAATCTGAAACTGTTACAAGTAATGTAGTATTAGAGGCCAGGGCATTAAGTATCCGTCATTCAAGTAGTAGTAATAATACTACACTGATGCGATCTACAACTGACAGTTGTTTCCATTTGACAATAAAATGAAAAAGACTTAGTTATTGTTTGACAGCAAAGAATAGAAGAATACAATTCAAAATATAATATACCAACTATTATAATCTTTAATGAAAGCAAGTAAAGTGTATTATAATAGTCCTTCTAGAAAATAATTTATGCATCAGTTAGCCTGCAAATCAAACTCCTCAATAAAAGTTCTTGTGCATGCTTTAATCATTTACATAAAGTATAAAGACTTACTTAGGTTTTGACATTTTAATATCTGTATTTCATCTTCTGCTTTGCTCACAGAACAAGCTAAAAAATGAGATCATTAAAAATTAGCTACACATCACAAGAAGGCTCTGATTCCATCATGTTACAATTTCAACCTGATGATAGATCATAATATACTCAGCTGGTTGTTGGCCAGTATTTCATGTAACAAGAAAGTTCATGTTTTATTTATTCAAGATATAGCTTTCTAGGACCATTTTATGACTTGGGACAAAGTTCTTTCAAAATATAGTAGTACCTTGAGGCTGTACTACAATCTTTTCCTTGTGGCTTGGCTGAATAGCAAATAAATWACATGACCAATATAAGTATTTCCCTCTACTGTAAATATCAACTACGTCATATTCATTACAACTTTATAAATGCAATTACTAAAGGAAACATAATTCAAAATAACCTACCCAYAATTTAACTGCTTGGAATTTCATTGCTTCACTGAATGCCACAAGGTACCTTTGACATGATAAGAAGATKAGATTTGATCACAAAGAGTGTCAATAATGGTCCTTCCAAGATCCAAGACAGTGTGATGGATCTTGTCAAGATCAAAATTTGTTGATTTTTTGGCTCTCAGGGCCGGGTTGTTCAAAGCCTGATTAGCATTAATCCAGGGTTAACTCCAAAGGTTTCTAAGAGTTAACCCAGGATTAGCACTAATCCGGCTTTGAACAACGTGGCCCAGAAGGATAAAATTTAATGAAAAGTATACTTCTGCAAGGCTTAGCGTACAAAATCTGAGAAATTTCCGAATTTTGCCATTTTTCCAGCACTTTTGAAGATACCATTTAAAATAGATATGTATAGATAATGACAGCATCTAACCTGGCATTCGTGATAGCCTTTGTCATTGTCACCATATGAGATTTATCATGATAAATTTCATTGATGTCTGTTCCACCAAATATGATGCAGTATGGTACTTCACAATCTGGAATATTGAAATTTGCTGTTATACCAATGCCATTATTAGAGTAAAGGAACCTTCTCAAGTATGTTAAGGCCTAGGTTTGACCTTCGTTGACCTTGGGATCGTTTTTGGACGTTAATTCCTCGTTTCTTCTTTGATATAATGTCCGTTCGACTTTAAATTTAACTAGGTTTGTGGTTATTAGTATTTTTTTGATGCTATGACATCTATGACGTCATAATGGTGAAAAATAGAAAAATAAATATGTGGTTGCAAGTTTTACACACTCTGGAAAATAACTTGCATAAATATCCCTCTACTACTGCCTCCTCAAACAGTGCTGTTTGGAAAACCTGTTCAGCTACTTTGGTTTAGGAGATATTGAGGCTTAAACTAAGTCACGTGACCTGTTTCATGCAATATATCGCTTAAACCATGAATTCAAAACAGGTTCTCCAAGCAGATGTTTAAAAGGCTCTACAAGTAAAGCTACAGACTGTATGTTAGCTTAATAGTATTTTAGTAACGTTAAAACTTGGAACCACATTTTAAAAATACGTTTTTCTCCTTTTATTGATGACATCTGGTCACATGATTTGTCGAATACCACAGTGTGCAAAGTTCCGACAATTTTGATCACATTTTCGCTTCAAAANATATCATTAGGGTGCACCTTCTAAAAAAGAGAGAGAAAATATGATTGATGTCTTACCTAAAAGCAGGGAACCAGCCCTGTGTGCATGTACTCCTATTATGCAATCTATAGCATGTCCAATAACGTATTGMTTGACAGACTCCGGTCCATCAAATTGAGTTATCRCTGCTAGTTCACATTTTATGTCAGTCTCTAATAATTGTTGTCTGTTGAAAATAAAAAAAATGCATTAGTGTKCAGATATCGCAATGTATAAATTTGAATCTATTTACAGTAACAAAAATGTTGCCAACTCCTAGATTGCAAAAAGTGTTGCTTTTTATTGCCAT